ACGGGCCTGTGTGATGTTTATCCCCTGGGGGGTGATTTCTCTCTCTCTCTCTCTCTCTCTCTCTCTCCCTCCAGCAAGCGCACATGAGTATAGCAAAACAAAACAGCAAAGACAAAACAACAACGCAGCAGGAGCAGACGCTCCAACCCCTACTCCCATAGCTACAGGGCTAACTGAGCACCTGGAGGGTGCTGGCGCCCAGGAGCTCTGCGCACAGCAGTGAAGGACGGGGTGCATCTTCTCTGGGGCATCAGAAACGCTGCACTGCCTCCCGCGGGCGCCATGAGTGCGTGTGACACCGGCATGCCCACCGCCATGGCAGTCCTCTCACAGCTGACCCTCGGCCCTCCGGAGACAGTCCCTGCCCTCCTGGGGCCTGCGCTCACCCAGAGGCAGCACGGTGCAGCCGTCTCCTGTGGATCCCTTTGCTCCTGGGCTGCTGTGCCTGTCTCTCTCTCCAAAGGCCCAGGGCACCCGTGCCACTTTTGAGTCCTCCCCGCCCCTCGGGATGATTATAAATTGTCTGACCCGGCCCTTTCTCGGGGCTTTGTTGGGTCTCAGTCTGTTAATGGTGGCTGGAGGGTCACTGGGAAATTGCACCCACATGGGGCTCCAGGTGTAGACTGCCTGATCTCCAGAAAGGACACCTGGAAGGAGAGCCGCTCCTTCAACAACACGGAAGCCAAGACGGATCCACGTCGGTCCATAGTGGGCCGCTGTGCCGTCATCTCCACGACCCCTGAACACACGGCCAACCCGGGCAGGCCAGGAGCGCCGAGGACCATGACCTGAGTGTGACATTTCTTCCACTCTGCGAAGGGTTGGCAGGCCCTGGAGAGCCAGCTCCCTCAGGCTGAGACGCCCTGCCTCTCCTGCTTTGCCAGCAAGTTAATGGTGCTGTCAGTCCTCAGGGCACAGCGCACTCACAGCCGTGTCCAAGGTCGGGCCTCTGACAGCAGCCCTCGGCCCATTGGACGCCCCCCGCCCATCTGTCTGCACAACTCAACCCCAGCCTGGCCAGCAGGGCCACCGGTCCTGACCGTGCGTGAGCCAGGTGCACCCAGAGCGCCCCTGGGTCCCGTGTCTGCAGCCTGGCCCTTTCCTCCTGGGAAGCCACACCCCCAGCCCGCCCGCCGCCCCTTCCAGGAGACAGCATCCCCTCGGGGATCTACCAGCTAGCATCACATTCGGCACAAGGACTGACACAGCACAGCGGCAAAGATCTAATATATTAATCAGCACAGCAAACGCACTGGATTCCCAAGCAGCTCTGAGTACCAGCCTTCCCGGGACACGGCCTAAACAATGCAGCTAGGGGCTGACCAGGATGTCCGGTAAGACCTCCCCCAAAGGTCGGTCCCTTTCAGGAAGACGAGGCATTGGCTCTCAAGAAAGGCAGACCTCTCCCCGTCCTGCCCATGGGGCCACGCCCCTGCCTCTTCCCACGTCTGCCCTGGAGCGTGCCTCTCAGCACAAGCCCTGGCCAGAGGGCCCGAGGTGCCTTTTCTTCGTAGAGTCAGGTGTGTTCCCTTCCGGCTCACTTGCACCTTCAGAGTCCACGTCGCCATCTTGGAAGAACAGAAAAAGACTTTCACCGGATCTGCGGCTCCTTAACCCTCCGACAGAGATTCAGAAAGCACTTTCAGCTCGGGCATCTGGCAGGCGGTGTCCTGCTAGACCGCAGTGTGGATTTAGCCTTTCTTTACCGTCCGTGATCAGCTAGCTAGCTCCCCCTCCTCAGGAGACAATTCTCCAATGCCGAGAGTCAGTGTTAAAGCAGAAGTGGTGTCTGTCTTACCAGCAGAGTCAAAATGAGAATAGACTTGTCCCCGATCCTATCTAAAGCAGGGAAGGTCTCCAAAGAGACGTAAAGACTACCTAGCACGGCCTGTCTCCGACACTGACCGTCTGATCTGCCTCCTCGTCTCTCCTGGTCCCCGGTAACAGGCTCAGGAGTCTGAGTGAGCGCTGGGGCCCTCGTTGCAGTTCTACATATCGCGTCGCTGCTCCGACAGAGGGGCCGCGAGACCTGCCAACCTCGGAGGATCCTATCACAGGTGCAGGGATCATCGTGCCAGTCCTCACCGAAGCCTCTCGTCTGACTTTCATGCCCCCAAATCGTTGATCGCTTCATATCAACTCTAACCACTAGGCACCTCAGGACTCCCTGTACTGGAGTTGAAAAGCCACCATCACATTTTGGTGTCGTCTGTCTCGTTGACTTCCGACACCGTAAAGCTGGGGTTGTCATAGGCGCCCCTCTTCATCCTGGCTCTGGCGTCTTTCTCGTTATAAAGGCACATGGCACAGTGCGGGGTCTCCACTTCCACGGTCTTGCTGAAGTTGTGGAAATCCACCCGGTACTTCCCTTCCTTGGTCTTGGATACTATGGGAGCAAAACGGTAGCCCCAGAGCACCTCCTCCGGGATGTACGACGTCCGGACCTGGCAGGTAGCACTGGTCGACTCCACTGTGCCGTCCAGGAACACCACGAGCTCGAAGTCCTGCTGAGGAAGGGTCTCTGCCGCCATGTGGAAGAAGGGGCTGCTGTGGTCGATGACGTGGTAAACTGTCAGTGGGGAGATGAAGAACAGGTTCGCATTCCCGGCATCGACGACAAAGTTGACATTGATCTGGTCTAAAATGACGGTCTCCCCCTCGGGGGTGACGGTGGTGCGCAGGAGTTTCCCGTAGATGTGGCTGCTGATCAGGAGGCTCTTCCGCAGGTTGGCCACTCGGATCAGGAGGCAGAGCTTCCCACCGCGCTTGCTGATCACCGCGTTCTTGCTGAACGTGACGGTCTTGGCACGCTTTTTGGGCCTGGAGATCTTGGCCAAGATGGCGCCACACATGAACGAGTTGATGATCACGCCCAGGATGGACAGGCAGATCAGCAGGGAGAGGGCGGGGGCGCAAGGAAGATGGCGGTGGCGCATTGCTCAGTCACACATCTGAATCCGTACCCGATGGTCACCTGGGTTTCCAGAGAGAACAGGAAGGCGGAGGTCAAGCCGTTGATGTTGTCCACGCAGGGGCTGTGATTGGAAGACGGGCGGAACTCTGGGAGGTCTTTGTGGATGTAGGCCACCGCGTACCACAGCAGCCCGAAGAAGAACCAGCTCCCCAGGAAGGCCGTGATGAAGATGGTCATCTTATATCTCCATTTGAGGTCGAGCACGGTCGTCCAGATGTCCACGAAGAAGATGAACCTGGACTGCGCCTCCACGTTGCCGAACTCGATGTTGCACCTCCCATCTTTGGACACCAGCCTAGCTCTCTGCCGAGAATGCCCAAAAATGCGAGTGACAAACCATTTCCGAAGCTGCTTGAACATCCTGACCTGCAAACACATCAAAGGAAAGTGACAGTGATGTTTACAGTGAGCGAGGTGACTCCCGTGAAGACCTAACTGCGTGTGACAAGGCCATTCCCAACCATCTGGGTCACGGACCATCGGGGCAAGCCGACCAACTCATTCTGGAGATCAAAGGCTATTTCCCATAGAATCTGCCCCCTGGAAAGCCTTTTCACATACATGTGAGAAGCAGACCGTTAGAGAGAGGAGTGGAAGGGAACTGAAATACCCGCCTTCCGGCGTTTCCTGATCGCTGTCAGCCACGATGTCGGTGATAACTTATGACGACCTGTGCTTTTACTTTTTAGATATTCTTGAAATCACCTACCTTTTCCTCTTCAGTAAGTGGAACCTTGTGTTCAGCAATTGGGTGAAATCACAAGCTCAGAGTGCTCTGTGCTTTGGGATGTATAAACATAAATAACTGAAAAGAAGAAACCCTCAATTACAGCTTCCTGAAGTCGTCTCGTGCACACGCATGTCAAAACAGATCCTGGGAACCAGCAGTTAGCGTAATGGCTATGTCGCTGGACTCCCATGTAGTCGACCACGATTCGCGTCCCGGACCCGGTAGCTTAAAACCCACGCTGGGCACGTGTGCGTGCGTGCCCAAGATCCCAAGAGGAGAATGGAGGAGAAGGGATTGTGGCGTGGCCATCCCCTCTGGGGGGTGATTTCTCGCTTTCTGTCTCTCTGTCTGTCTGGCGAGCACACGCGCCCTATAGCGAAAACCTCTCAAAAAAATAAATAAATAAATAAAACAGATCCTGATCCAGTTCAGACTCTCACCCACCCAAAGAGACTGCGAACCAGTCCACATAAGAGACTTATCCGAAGTCATGTAACCATGGCAGGGCGACCACTGAGCCCAAGGCTCCCTGTCCCAGGCTGGGGCACTTCTCCCACACTCTTCAGTTCTTGGGTATTGGGTACTGAATTCTAAAGCCAGACTTCCCAGCGCCATTTTAAGACAAGTGTGGATTAAAAATTATTTTTCATCTTTCTTCCTTCCTTTCTTTTTTTTTTTAATGTTCAACACTCTTTAGGGCAGAGTTCAGCTCCCTCCAGATGATCTCAGGCCTCGGGGGGCCACAAGCCACTCTCCCCACAGTGTGCCCCAATTCCCCAAAGCAACGGTGTGAGGTCTCCATCCATTTCTCAGAGTGCTTTTCTTCCTCCGAGCAGACGCCCTGGAGAGCGGGAGAACAGCCTCCTTCAACCCCAGGCCCGCTGCTGGCACAGATGCAGGGCACCCTGTCAGTCAGTCAACAGAAGTGGACTAAGCCAATGAGTGAACTGAGCTCTAAAATACACCTGCTCAGCGGTCTCCTACTGACGGCTTTATTGTGTCTTCCACTTAGAAGCCCAACAGCGCAGGGACTCCCCCTTCAACAGCCAGTGCCGGTGAAGCCTGCGACCACCAACACTAGGCCGCCTCCTCCCCATGCCAGAGAAGACCAAGGCGTGCCCACCACAGCTAACATGCCTTTGTGGTAGTTTTCATTACATGCAAATATGTTTTTAAAATAGATTTCAAAATCCCCTTTCAAAAACATGTTTATTCATGAAAAGTAGGAAGCGAAACCAACTTAGCAACACATTTGAAGTAAAAGTGGTGTTCCAGGAGGTCTCGTTCGTGGCCTTAACAACATGTGGGCTGAGAACACAAGAAGGCAACACCGAGTGGAAGTGGTGAAGGGAAACCAGACTGTGTGATCGTGACAGGGACGGTTCTGAGGACACAGGGGAGAGCCAGGGGAGAGCCACAGGAGCACGGACAGCCTTGCGCACCCGTGGGCGCCTGCTCACCCCGCCCGGCCCTCGTGGGACACAGGCCTCCAAGAGGATGGGGGTGGCCCCAGGTCAAGCGCATGACAGGGAGACGTCCCCTCTTGCCCTGTCACTCCCCTCTGTTTGCACATGTCCTTTGGCCTGGTCTGCACCACGGGCACCAACTCCCTCTCCCAGGTGCACATCAGGAAGGGACCTCGCCTTAAACAATAAATCCTAAAGCCAACGATACCACCTGAATCCACGTCCTCCTTGTCCTATGTTATAACCCCAGGGCTGGCTCCTCCTTAACAGCCTCGGGGTTTTTGCCCACCTCTCCTCCTCCTCCAGCTTCTTGGACTCACTTCCCTTTTGAAGATGGAGAAGGCACAGGGAGGAATGTGCCCTGCCTTATCTTCGGGGTAAACCTGGGCCTCCGCGACTGCCTGGCCTTCCAAAGAGTGGGACACAGCAGGGCCGGCCGTCGTTCCTTCCCCAGCGTCCACACTCACATCCTCGGCACGCCCGGACCCGAGGCAGCCATGGCTGGCGGTGGCGAGGGTCAGTGCTGTGGCCGTTCCCCGTGGTACCTTCTTTAGACCAGCCACTCCACCTGGCACCCGGCCAGCGGGCGGGCTAACGTGCACTGGTTCCAAACACTCATTCGATAAAGGATCTGTGGATCTGTGTGGTTTAAACCAAGCCAATTGGCTGTGCTCAGACTAAGCCCGAACTGGCGTGACTTTTTTTTCCAAACCTCACATGGCTTGAATACCGTCATGCCAAGACATGACAAAGCAGCAGCTTGGGCCCCTGAGCAGCCACCGTGGACCCGGCCCCAGGGCTGCCCTCCTAGCCCTGGCCCTCGCCTCGCTCCACTTCTCATGCCGTTTCCCCTGAGTCGTGCCCAGCAACGACTGTTGGCCAAAAGCAGTTAGTTATCACCAGTCTCCCAGCCCGCTCTCTGAAACACCCCAGATACTGCGTTTACCTGTTCAGGGGAGCAGGTGAGTTCGCGGATAAGACATAAGTCTGCATTTGCAGGGCGGAAGTAAGGTCACCCCAGGGAGAAACAAGATAGCGGGGTAATCTCGCTGCCCAATCGTCTCCACTAAGGAAGAAAGCCATGTTGAAGAGGAGCCTCTATTGTTGGGCTTATTCTGGAAACTGGCGTTTCCCGAGGGGGCTTTCTACATGCAGCAGGGTTAGGCAAAGCTGGTGATTTATTTGTTCAAAGAGTGAGAAGAATGAGACTCAGAATGCACGAACACGGGGTACAGTCACCCCTAGCCACGCCCATCGTTCACATGGAAGGTCTCTGCTGGGACAGTGGCATGCCGGCTAACCACAGACAGAGCTGATGTGTGTTTTACGGACTATGGGGCAATTAGAGATTGTTCGTGTTTGGCTTATGTAATGTGCTCGGTTTGTAGGCTCCTTTCTATTGAAATCAGTAAATCTTAATAGCAAGCAATCGTTGCACATTAGCTAATGTTTACCAAGGCATGCCGAGTGGCCTGGAAAGCCAGCGTTGACATGACCGCCCCTTTCCTCTCTGTGTTCCAACATCTTGTTCAGTAAATAGCCCATTGTCAGAACATAAGCTCTCTGCAGACTTCCCCAGCTTTGCTTGTCTGCTTGCTCTGTGGGACTTCGAAGACAAACAGAGCCCTTCCTGTTCTCAGGGAGCTCACGGTCTAATGCGGAGGGAGCGACGTAAGTCGTCAATCACCATCCCCTGCGGTTCGGACCATGCCAACAGGACTGGCTTTTCTACAAGATCCCCAGTAGCTGGAGATCCGCCCACTGCAAACACTCGAGTGGGCAGGAAGCGCATTGAGTGCACGTGTACACTCATCCGCGTACCTGTCACTATCCAGCCACGGTGGCTAACACCACCCTGCGGCGGCCCTCGCACTAGATCTCAGGGAAGCAAGCATGGACCAGATGGTCACAGTCCTCGTCCCAGCGCCGCTCGCAGTCGGGCAGCGGGCGGGGAGCACAACTGAGCCAATCAACAAAGGCAGAGTGAGGTGTGTGACATGGAGCGCCCGGGGAGCACTTCCACGAAACTCGGGAACGTGTTCGTAAAACTCAGGGGAGCACGTCCCTTGTCTCTGTTTATTTCTTCCGTGAGTGAACGAGACAGCCAAAGAGAGACAAAGACAGCACCCCCGATGGGGCCCTGACACCGCGGTTCACACCTGGTTTTACCAGTCCTGGATCAGGACACGTGCCCGGAGTCCTCCCGTGGGTGGCCTCGCAGAGCATCGTGTTTTACTCTCTGTCACCTCTGGGCCCACGGGAGCTCCTATTCTGGACGGCAGAAAGTGGCATGGGGGCTAAAGCCGAAGATGAGCCAGAGACACAGTAGGCACGCCGTAAGCGTCTGCTGAATGGCGGCCCGTGGATCACTCCGCGCTCAGGAAAGCTGCGAGCTTGCTGTCCGTGTACCACTCGGCGCCAGCGCTCTCCCCTAACAGCTCTCTCAGAAGACAGGAATCTGTGAGTCGCACTCACCACAGGGCTCTGCAGCTGCGGGTGGGACCCAGGCAGCAGCGACAGGACAGAGGGGGAGCTGAAAGGAGGGCCAGGGAGGCCCAGGGCAGGGAGGCCAGGGTGTCCAAGCCACTCAACTAGGTGTAGCAGGGACGGGTCTGAGGAAGCCCCTGCCCCTTGTGCTTCTGAGATGACTCATCGTAATTCGAAACCCGTCCGAAGTCCCTTCCATTTAATAACCCTTCAAATCCAAGGTAAACATGTGATCCCGAGTCCCGTCCTCCATATGCTTCACTGCAGACGACGCCCGCTTCGCCCCACAGTGTGTGCTGTTGTGGGCGGGTACCCACAGTCGTGCTTTGCTGGCCTGCGAAGAACCTCACATGGGGCTGTGCTTCTGCAAACACACACCTGAGAACAATCCACTATGAACTTGCAGTTCTCTGTAACTTTTTTTATCTCATCCATGAAAGAGAAAGGGAGACAGAGAGAGACAGGCTTCACCTAGAGGGTCCTCATTCCTCAGTCCACCCCATCTCAGCTGGGCTGGATCGCAGATCTGAGCAGGCAATCCTGGCATGCTCAGAGAGGTCCCAGGGCATGAACCCAGTACCTTCCCACGTGGGACAGGGTGTGTTACCATTGTGCCACCATCTGGCCTCCAGGATTTCTCACAGCACTTCCCACACTGGCCCTCCCCTCCCGCTGCGCTCAGC